ATGTAAGCTGTCAAACATACACAACTGTTAGCCATCATAGCAGTTAATCATAGCAGTGGTGTTTACTTCAGAGTCTACAATCAGCCACACCTATTCAAACAGAGTGTTCTGATGAGGGGGTCAAAACAGGACAGAAAATAACCTATTACTCCTGAATTATGAGATTTTTTGATGTTGAACCACAGTACAATCAGTTGAACCGTCTGTACTTCTGTCACTCACTGCCTCGTTTTCATTCCTGTCAAAAATTAAATATGGTGCTACCCTGATTAATATCAATATTCCAAGTCTTCTGAATGATGCAATCGTTTTTTAAGGCCTTGCTTACTGACATCTCTTAAAATAGCATTCTTCATTCAGCATTACAAATTACATTACAAAGTGTTTCATTTTGACCCGCAACACAAAACTCATTGGACTCTTTGGAAATGCTGGTTAACATGCCTGCAAAGTTTTGACACTCTAAGGTGTTGTGGGAAATGAGTATGCGCATGCAAAAGTCACTGGTATCATCAAATTTGTAAAATTTCAGTACCGATGTTGGTACTTTTGACAACACTATATTAACATTTACATTCTTGCACTTGGCAGACACTTTTATCTGAAGAAATATGTGTTGAAGGCGTAGGCCTGGGCGATAAAACGGTATCGATATTTATCGACGGTACACCTTCTTCGATAACGATATAAAAAATGTTCGATATAGTGCATGATATAGGCACGTGCTATGAGTGACGCAGACAGCACACACAAACATGAACATGAGTGCTGTGCCTGCCTGTGATGAGGAGATTGTGAATAAAAAAATGAATATTAGTCGAATTTAAAATAAACATTTGCATTTGAATGCAATAATAGACAAATCAAATATTAGGTGTGCGTCAGGGAGCGTCATCAGTGGCGCACGAGATGCAATGATGATGATGTAAGTGACGTTTTTGCATTTTAATGTTTTGTTAGTCTATATTTAAACTTGATAAAACATGCATATATGTTGTTTGTCTCAATAAATTGAGTTATATACATATAACATATATAACACATATATACAATAGTTGATACACATGATAAATTTTTTAGCTATATCGCCCAACCCTATGAAGGCGTCAATTTTTATCAGTTCAAGCATGTCAATTACGTGACGTGACGTGACATGTGGCCAAGTATGGTGACCCATACTCGGAATTAGTGCTCTGCATTTATCCCATCCAAAGTGCACACACACAGCAGTGAACACACACACACACACACACACATTGGTTAATATAAATATCATTGGTTTGGACAACTAGGGTAAGTAAATAATTTTGGCATGAACTATTCCTTTAAACTGCAGTTCTTCAGCTGACATGTGGCCAAGTATGGTGACCCATACTCGGAATTAGTGCTCTGCATTTATCCCATCCAAAGTGCACACACACAGCAGAACACACACACACACACACACACATTGGTTAATATAAATATAACATTGGTTTGGACAACTAGGGTAAGTAAATAATTTTGGCATGAACTATTCCTTTAAACTGCAGTTCTTCAGCTCAAATTCCTCTCAGTCCATGGATACGCTTTGAAATAAAAATCAAGCTCGCTCAAGCGCACTATGTTGTTAGTTGCAGCACAAACGCATCTCAATTTGCAAGACAATTTGGGAGGCAGCGGTTCTCATACCGTGAAACCAAGGAAGCAAGTGAAAACATTTTAAAAGTGGGCCACTCTTACAAATGCAAATGACAGTAATGATAATGAGGACTTTGGCATGGCATGAGACATTAAATGGCTCTCTAAACCCAAAGCGCAATGAAGCCAGCTGTCACCAGAGACTCGTCGCTGTTAAGACGGCATAATGGAAACACGACTCGGACAAGAACAAAAGCGGTGGAGTCCAGTGACAGCTCACGACAGAGGCATGACAAGCGCACAGAGAGCCGCACTGCTTCAGGTGGATACGCTGCTGAACGGAGCAGTGCTTAATGAGTCCCTGTCTGCTCATGAAGACTGTTTATTATCTATGCTGATATGACAAGGAAAAAATATGCATTACAATAAAAGACAGAGAGGGACTCAATTTATTTTAAAATGTGTAACCTTTATATTGATCTATAAATGTCATTTATATTTAAAATGCAGAACTCTACGGCAGAAATACTGTATTTTTTAATTATATATACACATTACAATAAAAGATGGAGAGGGACTTAATTAACATAAAAAATGTGTTTCCTTTATATTTAACTATAAATGTAATTTATCATTAAAATGTGGAACTCCATGGCAAAAACAAAAAACAAAAACTTAATTAGAATTTTATTACATATACTAATATGCCAAGGAAAAAATATGCATTACAATAAAAAACTGAGGGACTCAATTTATTAAAAAATTTGCAACTTTTATATTAAACTATAAATGTGATTTATATTTAAAATGTGGAACTCTATGGTAGAAATACTGCAAAAAAAAAAAATCTTAATCAGTATTGTTATTATATATACTGATATAAAGAGGAAAAATTATGCATTACAATAAAAGATGGAGAGGGAATCCATTAATATATTAAAAATGCGTTACCTTTATATTTAATTATAAATGTTACAATACTTATAATTAGGGCTGGACGATATGGCCAAAATTGATATCACGATATATTTCTTAATTTCGGTCGATACGATATAATTCCGATATCGATATGAACACTATTTATCTGAAATAGAAATCTTTTGTAACATTATAAATGCCTTTATCATCACTTTTGATCAATTTTAAGCATCCTTGCTAAATAAAAGTATAAATTTAGGAACTCTATGGCAAAAAAAATATATTTTTCAGTAAAAACACAATTGTGTCTTTCAAATAATATATCTTGAATTTTTTTATTATTGTAAGCATAAACATCAATACATTTTGTTAGAATTATCTTTAAAATAAGAAAAAAAAAACAATTTGCTAATAGTGTAAAAAAAAATTGAAGATACATTTTAATATGCACTTTTACTTTTCAAATGAATACATCTTGTTTTAATAATGGTCAGATATTTTTACTGGGAAAAAAAGACAAATATATGTGAAAGTCTGAAATGATCAAACATTATATGCACAACTTTAATTTTCTCATCCTTAATTAGTTTTTTTTTATTGTTTTAAACAAACATCACTAAACTGTGGTAGAATTATCTTTAAAATAAGAATTGTCAATAGAGTACAAAATTAATTGAAGATACATTTTAATATGCAGTCTGACTTTTCAAATGAATATATTGTTTTAATGATGTTCAGATATTTTTACTGGAAAACAAGACAAACATATATTTTGAATGTCTGAAATGATCAAACATTATATGCGCTGCTATAAAAGCACTCGTTTGTGCTTCATATGATTTAATCAGTCATTGCAAAATAAATTCATTTGAATGAATCACTGAAACTAAACTATTATATAAAGAGTTGTGCTGACCTAATCGCTTCTCAAGATCCAAAACATCACTTCCATAATTCCAGATCTGAGTCTGATCATGTAAAAAGAGACAAGTGCAATTGCAAATATACTTATAGGAATGTTTATGAAACATTAAACGTTCATTGCATTAGCCTTCCTATTATTTAAAAGCTCCTGAGCTTTGGATGATGCTCAGTGGAGATAATTGTACAGTAAATAACTCTATTAATAGCATTCAGTGTAGTTAATGGATTACAGTTCTTGTTCTCCAGGCTATCGATTAGAGCCAAGACTCGCCCGCTCTCAAAGCCCCAGAGTGCACTAATGAATAACCACTTCAATTAAAGTTGTCTAATACTTCAACGTCTCTGGCTGGATAAAATCATCTGACTTGGAAAGCATCAAGCATGCCGCAACATGGAACTACAATACTATTCTAGACCAACAAGGCAGAAATAAGTTCAAGCATATGATAAGAACACAATAAGATACCTACCATGTTGACTGTGCTGGCACTCTAAGCAACCGCTTGCTTGGCTACTTGTATGCAATAGTCATGGACCAATATATGAGAGGCAGAATGATTACACGAGGCAATATTTGGACTTTCTGAGATTATAAGCACTGGCCAATGAAAGAAATAGTTCATCCAAAAAATTTAAATGAACTCACCCTCAGGCCATTCAAGATGAAGAGTTTGTTTCTTCATCAGAACAGATATGGGGAAATTTAGCAACTACATCACTTGCTCACCAATGGATCCTGTGCAGTGAATGGGTGCCGTCAGAATGAGAGTCCAAACAGCTGATAAAAACATCACAATAATCCACACAACTTCAGTCTATTTGTTAGTAATAAATCCATCATTAAGACATTTAATTAAGTTTAAACGACTGTTTTCACTTCTGAACAGTGCTGTGTATATTTCTCTCCTGATTCAGCTGAGATGACTTTTTTACTGGAGAAAGCAATGTTATGGATGCGTATTTTAGCCAGAAGCAATGGTTAGAAGTTAAAAACGTCTTAAAGATGGATTTGTTTTTTTACAAACACACAGCTTTTCACTTCACAAGACATTAACTGATGGACTGGAGTGGTGTGGATTATTGTGATGTTTTTAATCAGCTGTTTGGACTCTCATTCTGACGGCACCCATTCACCGCAGAGGATCCATTGGTGAGTGCAATGCTACATTTCACCAAATCTGTTCCCATGAAGAAACAAGCTCATCTGCATCTTAGATGACCTGAGGATGATGCACTGAAACTAAAGCATTTTGGCCATTAAAAGAAAACCTCATATTGGTCGACCACCAATGCACAAGTAAATATAATAATGAATGACATTTACAAGAGACATTTTGCAGGAACAACCTTTCTTGGATGTTTATTACACCAAAAACGAGACTAAGCACACACACACCAGGTGGGTAAATTTCAAGCCAACGGGTAACCTTTGAAAGCAGGAATAAAATGTCAATATCTCTGCTGCAAAACAAAGAGACGGTGCAAACATTTTTAGGTGATGTGACAGTAACAATAATGGCGTAAAGGTAAGTACTCACTTTATACGAGTAGGGCATTTTGCTCAGGTCAATTCCATGCTTCACCAGCTTATCCCTTATCATTATCTTCAGCTTGAGTTTGGGATACACCACCGGCTCCTTGTGGTTCTCTAGTGCTTTGATGTCATTGGAGAGTCCGATCCTGGGCCTGTCCCAAGTAGAATTGACCCAAGACTTGGTGCATTTCTGTTTGCAGTCACTAATTTGAGAGCATGTGCCATGTGGAAGGGGTTCAAGGGTGAAATACAGTCCCGGTGCCAACTTCTTGTCTTCATCTCGGAGTCTCTCCACGGCCCGGAGAACCTTTTCCCGGTGATGTGGAGTGAAGACACCGATGGCATCCAGGTCAGGGTCTCCTATCTGTTTGCACACCTCCAGGTCATCATAACCATTGTCAACAAATGACTCCACATACTGACACAGCTGGAGGGTTTTCAGCCACTCGTAGACAATGGTGGGTCCGTTGTCCATCATTCCCAAATCAGAGGACATTCCCAAAGTCCATTCCCAAGTGCATAAGATAGCCTACATTCTTCCCATCTCAAGTGCTATAAATATCAACACTGGCAGTCCTTCAATAGTAAGCAAGACTTTCCAGTGCTGAATTCACTAATAAAAGGCAGAAAAAACGAGTGTTACATGGCTAAACATATGAAGAAATACTAAATCCCAAATCATTTTGTTTTCAGTGCAAACATGTAAACAAAGTTTAAAGTGCATCGTATTTACCTTAATACTTTGATAGCCTTTCGTGTCATATCGAATATGAAATGATACAAGGTTTAGCATATGTTAATCCCCAAGTAAAAGTCTATATTTTGTCATATATCCAGTCTCACAGCGTGAAAGTTCATGACCTACGCTCGTTTCCTCTCAGCAGATACACTTTATTCCTCACAGCATCAGATTGTCACTGGACGACACGCCGTTTGTATCCAGTGTCGGTGAGTCGCTTTCTTGCACTGCTCGGTTTATTTTCCATTGATCCGATCCTTAAATAAACAAGAGAAAAGGAATACAAAGAAGATGCAGCTTCTGCTGTGCTGCGAACCAGACAAGACTGAGCGAGCCTAACTGATTCAACGGAGCGCCAGACGCCAAATTGAAGTTTCCCTCCCCTTCATTCTGATGCGCCTTTCGTACTAGCTGCTGTTTTATTTTAGAGCCCCCTGCAGGCCGTATGAGGAACTGCAGCGCTATTTGTCTGCAGTCATTCCCACAGAAGTGGAAGTTTAATAAAAATTTTTTTAAATGACTAAAAAACAAAAAACGTCCATTTCCAAGATTTTTTTAATGTTTATTATTATTTTTTTTTGTAAGGCATTATCAGTCGCCCAAATAACCTAATATGAAAGAACACACAGGCACAATTATTATTATTATTATTTTTTTTTTTTTTCAGTTTTAGCTGCAATTTACACACAAATTATATTGTTTAAAAATACCTTGTCTATGAATAGTAAATTTGTACTCGGATAAATAAAAATAAGGGTTATGGTAACAATTTTGTAGAGAGAATTATCATAACTGTTATTACATAATTGTTAAATCAATGATTTATTGATATTTAATGTTAGCTTTAAATCAATTCTGACACTTGTTTGCTTTGATTAGGCATCTTATATATATTTATATGCATGTTAGTCAATTTTTCTGCTAAATATATATATATTATTTATTTTAACATTTTTTAGACACCTAATCAAAGCGTACATGTGATATATATGCAATGTTTCTGGTTTCTATTCAGATTATACATTTATTTCATATATCTGTTTATTTCATATATCTATCTAAAAGGTCAAATAAGAACTGGAAACATTGCATATATAATGATTCTTTCATAATAAAATTATAAAACTAATTAAATTGTTAAATCAGTGATTTATTGCTATACAAAACCTTTAATGCAATTCTGACACCTCTTTTTTTGCTTTGATAAGGCTTCTATTAAAATATATATTATGTATATTTTAGAATCATATATATATATATATATATATATATATATTCATAAATGTATATATATGCATGTGCTTCTGGTTTCTATTCAGATTATACATTAACTTTCTATTTTATATTTATTTTAAATTGCAAAACAGATGTGTAATCAACCAAGGTTATTTCTTTCAAATTGAGAGTTGAAGTTGTAAAACCGTGACATCTAGTGGTCAAAGTATGCAAAAAGAAGTGTGGAATCAAAACGGCTGTAAATAAAGCTTTCTGTTACATTTATTTTCCATTGCACAGTTATGTCTATAAACATGTTTCCTAAACTGTTGGGTGGCAGCAGATAAAGACAAACATTCATGTGAAAGTCTGAATAATAAAACTGTACAATAAGTCGGCTATGATGAGAAAGCCTGCAACCCCACGAAGAATCATCAACCTCCAAACCGACCCTTTTCAGGAGAATCTTCTGTTTTATGGAGTACAGCTTTGATGGTCAGGGGAACTCAAATAACAATGCTGGGAGTATACTATCAGAAAAAGAAAAAAATAATCTCGCCTTCATAATCATCAATAATAGAGAGTAAATACATTACTGACAATACATCTGACTAGCAGGACTAAAGAAAAAGAGACCAAATATAACGTAGATTGATGTTTCAAGTTTGTAAACACGATATCATGCTGCCTTTTGTGCAAGAGAAATCCGAGGACGAACAGTACACAGAGATGGCCAGTGATTTCAGAGATTCTTCAGGTCGACTTTCCCTCTTCCACAGACGACCAAGCAGATGGCTCACAAGAAAAGCTTTCATGTTTGATTCAGTGAGAATATATACACAACCAATTTTTCTTTAAACGTGCCCTTTCATTTCAAACAATATAATAAAAGTATTCATTTGTAAATTAAAAGTAAATTATATATTTATATATATATATATTTCAAATGTATAAATATATTAGAATATCATTAAACTGGCAATGAGGACAAATCTGAGAGTGTGAGCCACATTTACACTAGCATCCGTCTAATTTTGGTCCTTCTTAAAGAAACAAAATGTCCAAAATAAAGAACAATGCCAACTACAAAAATATTGATAATAAAATGACGTCATTATAATATAAAACATATAGTGCAAAACCACACAACTGCTCATAGAAAAGAAAAATATATGAAGCAGAGAAGCTGGATTAGATTTTCAGTTGGTCAACACTGAAAATTGCAATTTTGGTAGGTATTAACACAAACACCATGGCAACAGAAGGAGTAGTTTGCTATATGTCTATCTATATATATATATATGTATATATATGTGTGTGGAGATGCCATGACACTTATGTTTTAAACTGTAAGGAACATCCTCTCCTCCCTGTGAGATCAACTTTCACAGCAAAGCAACTCTTTGGAGTCTAGTCAGATGATGGCCACCATCTTCAGTAACTTTGACTGCGTCAGCACTCTCAAGTTTGTCTTCAAGAATATTAATATTTACAACATTTGGCAGCAATGTGACAAACAAAACAAGAAAAATAACAGAAAAGCCTTCATGGAATAGTTCACCCCAAAATGAAAATGTTCTGAAACTGTACACATCCTCAGGCCATCCCAGATGTAGATGAGTTTGTTTCTTCATTGGAACAGATTTGGAGAAATGTAACATTGTATCACTTGCTCAGCAGTGGATGCTCTGCAGTGAATGGGTGCCGTCAGAATGAGAGTCCAAACAGCTGATAAAAACATCACAATAATCCACACCACTCCAGTCCATCAGTTAACATCTTGTGACGTGAAAAACTATGTTTGTAAGAAACAAATCCATCCTTCTGGATGAAATAGGAGTCTGTAATTTCGTCTGAATTGTCTCGTCTGAATCAGGAGAGAAATATGCACAGATCAAGCACCGCTTACAAGTGAAAGTTCAGAACAGTTCTAGACAAATATGTCAGAGGATTTTGATGTGAGAAGACAACAGGGGATGGACTTTTTAACTGGAGGAAACGTTATTATGGATTATGGACTCATATATTGGCCAGAAGCGATGGTTTATAGTTAAAACGCTTTAAAGATGCATTTGTTTCTTACAAACATGCCGCTTTTGGCTTCACAAGACATTAACTGATGGACTGGAGTGGTGTGGATTACTTGTGGATTATTGTGATGTTTTTATCAGCTGTTTGGACTCTCATTCTGACGGCACCCATTCACTGCAGAGGATCCACTGGTGAGCGAGTAATGGAATGACACATTCCTCCAAATCTGATCCTTTGAAGAAACAAACTAATCTTGGATGGCCTGAGAATGAATACATTTTCAGCAAATCTTCATTTTTGAGAGAACTAATTCTTTCATATGCCTGATAGAAAAATAACAAGCGTCAACAGATTTGACAGATGCTCCTAATTTAAACACAAATAGCAGCAATTTCTTGCACCTCATAAATAAGAAAACACACTTAAAGAAAACATCTCAACATATGCTTTCAAATATATTGTATCTTTAGTTTATATAAACGTGAGCATACACATATTCTTGCATACATGTATGTTCACGAACACATGTATACGCATCTTGGATGGCCTGAGAATGAATACATTTTCAGCAAATCTTCATTTTTGGGAGAACTAATTCTTTCATATGCCTGATAGAAAAATAACAAGCGTCAACAGATTTGACAGATGCTCCTAATTTAAACACAAATAGCAGCAATTTCTTGCACCTCATAAATAAGAAAACACACTTAAAGAAAACATCTCAACATATGCTTTCAAATATATTGTATCTTTAGTTTATATAAACGTGAGCATACACATATTCTTGCATACATGTATGTTCACGAACACATGTATACGCACACGAGGCGAGGTTAGCATATATTCATGGGTCGCAAAGCAAAGGCAGAAGGTAACGCCCTCTGGATGACACACCCGAGGGCTGCTGATCGAGAGTATGGAGCTGCATTGAACATTTAGTGGTCACCTCCACTGCAGCAACAAACACAGAGATAGATATATTCACCTCTCTGTGAGGATGACAAACTCATGCATTAGTCCATCCGAAAAGGCTTCTTAGAAAATACTAAGAATTCCATTCGTCATGTACTTAAAGATGAGGAAGTCACCAGGTACTGTACTGAGTCTCGCGTAAGCCTCGAGATTTTCTTGTCCAGGAGCAGTTGCATCATGGGAAATAAGAAAGAGGAACCTGTTTTGCATATGAAGAATCAGTACTCTCGGCACATTCCACCGGTGTCCCTCGTATCCGGTTTCTGACATGTCAATCATCACAAGGCACATAATCAAGATCATGCCTCACACTTTCCAACTCTCACTTGCGCTCCTTCATAATAAAAATAACCTGACAAAATAACCAAAGATAATTTACGCACTCCAGATCTCTGTTTGTAGATAACCAGCACAATTCAGCAGTTATTCACCTGCGTGAAACCTTTTAAATGCACGTCTGGGTCATATTTGAGCCAGATATGGGTCAAATCTGACCCCCCCAAAAATCTGACAAATTAGTCCAAAAATCTGACAAATTAGAAATTATAGTTTGTTTACAGAAAATGAAAGCTATTTTTTGCACTGTAATTAATTAGGCACAATTTTATTCTGTAATGCAAAAAAAAAATTATTTCATTTATATATATATATATATATATATGTGTGTGTGTGTGTGTGTGTGCGTTTAAATGGATAAATATTTATATATCATGGTGGTATTTGTACTATTTAAATTTAAATAAATGATTTTGATATTGGTGTTAAATATGAGCCAGACATTTTTTTGTGAGATTCACCAACATATTCCTTAGATCTTTATATATATAAACATATATATATATATATATATATTTAAAATGAACATTTTCTCCAGTGTCAACACAGCGTATAGAGTACATCAAAGTCAGAGCTCTTCCCTAAAAGCTCTTTTGAGACCTGATCAGTGTAAACCAATACGTCCTAAACAATAAAATGATGCATGATCAGATCAGCTTCGCTGCCCAGGCCTGTCTCCAATTTCATATGGCAAAATAATCACATGATATGTGTTAAATACAGCAACTTCCAGCCCTTTAGAGGTGAAATTAAATGATACTTCATTACACATTATGTAAGACAATCTGGCCTTTTCCATAACTAACATGATTA